AGCTCACCCCGCCGTGGGGATTCGAACCACCGACCATACGATCTGCAAGTCCTAGGCTCTGTGGTTTAACCCACAGCGCCACCCGCGCCCCTCTGGGGTGAAGTCAAACTGCTGTGTTAGCAGCACCAAAGTGACTTTCCCCATATGGAGGCCCTGGGCTGCCCAGGCGACAAGACCCCCCTCTTGGCCTTGCTCAGGGGTCAGCAACCTTTTCCAGCCGTGGGCCGGTCCACTGTCCCTCAGACCATGTGGTGGGCTGGACTATTTTTTTTTGGGGGGGGGGGAAATGAACGAATTCCTATGCCCCACAAATAACCCCAGAGATGCATTTTAAATAAAAGCACACATCCTACTCATGTAAAAAAACGCTGATCCCCGGACTGTCCACAGGCTGGATTGAGAAAGTGATTAGGTTGCCTGCCCCTGGCCTTGCTGATGTGGTCCAAAGGAAACCAGAGCAATTTGTTTGGCACCAGCTTGGCTGCCAGAGTTGCCAGAAGGAGGCATACAAGATGCCACCTAACTGTCTTAGAGACTCCACTCCAGGTTTGTGCAGAGTTTACTCCTTAGCCTTTTCTTCTCCTGGAGATATCCTGTAAGGCAGCAGCGGATTAGGATCAGAGTTGTCCTTCCCCAAATGGGCTACCTTCCCAGGTTGACCCATCTGCCCCTCACTTCCCTGTACTGCATGTGCAGAAACTGCCTTCTTGACTGTTAGACCCACAATTGGTCTCAACCGCTCACTCCACCAGAGCCTGTCTTCGCATGCAAGGAATATCCCTAAGTCACCAAAGGTTTGAGACCCATCGGCTATCCTCGCCTAGTTTAGCCGGCCAGTCAAAGGTGTTCCTGGGTGTGGCCACTGCCGCATGCTGACAGCTTCTAGGAGCCACAGGTGAGAGCTGAGTGCAGGGTGGGGACCAAAGATGGACAATCTACCTCAGAAGGAGGATGACATGTCCCTCACCAGAGGTTCTACTCCTCCTCTAACACCCCATAAAGGTAAAGGGTAAAGGGACCCCTGACCATTAGGTGCAGTCGTGGCCGACTCTGAGGTTACGGCGCTCATCTCGCTTTATTGGCAGAGGGAGCCGGCATACAGCTTCCGGGTCATGTGGCCAGCATGACTAAGCTGCTTCTGGTGAACTAGAACAATGCATGGAAATTCTGTTTACCTTCCCGCCAGAGCAGTACCTATTTATCTACTTGCACTTTGACATGCTTTCGAACTGCTAGGTTGGCAGGAGCAGAGACCGAGCAACGGGAGCTCACACCGACCTTCTGATCAGCAAGTCCTAGGCTCTGTGGTTTAACCCACAGCACCACCCGCGTCCCCTATCACCCCATGCACCCCCCAAAAAAGATAGGTAACACAAGAAACAGTAGACATAAGCGGTCAACAGGTCACCCCAAAGCCTAGGTGAATAAATACATTTTTAATTGGTAATGAAAACTTAGAAGAGTTGGCACTACTCAGTTTTGTAAAGAGAGGTCATTACAGAGTTGGGTCCCCTGTACTGAGGATGCCCTTTCCTGCCTCACTGCATATCTAATTTCAGGATGCTGTGGGACCATCAAAGGACACCCCTGTCAGATCTCAGAGTACAGGAAAGTCTGTAAGGGAGAAGACACTATTATAAGACACTTTCCTTCAGCAAACCTAACTGAAAGTTATATTCTTCTGTCCCTGTGGACCACTTCACACATTGCATGGCAACAAATGCAGGTTTGGCACCCAGGCGACACCTGCAGCCGCTATCAGCTGCCTGTCAAGTGTGCTTGTATGATCCCCATTGCGCCCACACTTTACACATTTAGGAGTACACTTGAAGCATCTCAGATATTTCTTTTAACTGGCCCAATTAATTTCAATACTTTTTTCTTCTAATTCATATTTCCCAGTGTAGTGAGCGGGACTATCCACACCCCCGACCGTTCCTCCTAGACACCGGCAGGACTTGGCCAGGAAGGGGGAGAGATCGCTAGTTGTTGCAGATCACAAGCCAAACAGTAAAGCTGCCACCACCTCCTTTCCTGGACCACCCTCGAATGGGGTTCAAGGAGGAGAAATTCCCCCCGAAGGGGGTATTTATTGGGTTAGCCCAGCCCTGAGTCACTTTACCGTGACACAGACAGAAATTCAACAGGTAGATGCTTCCAAACGGTAAGGCACCCGTTTAGCTTCCCCGAGCAAAGGCACAGAGTACAAAAGACAAAAAGTCCATTTCCAAGTTTATTGAAAAAGCCACTCAAAAGTTGCACATTTCTTAGAAGGTTACAAACAAAAAATAAAAACATTGTAAAATATAACTAGCTAAAACCATACCCACCCAGCAACAATAGTTCAAAACACAGTGAGTAGCCAAGAGGCGAAATACCAGGGCAAGATGTTCTGCACTTTGAATCTGAATTCCCAAATCCTTTATCCTTGAAAACCCACGTGGAGGACAGATTAGGGACCAATCATTTCTTTAGGTCAATTACCAATTTACCAAAGGCTGTATGATGAGACTATATCTTCCGATTGTCAGGAGACCTGCACAGTGAACTTTGTTTAGACTCAGAAACCTTGAGATCAAAAAGCTGTTCCCTCTGTTCCCAGGCCTCTCTTTCATGTACCAGGCTCCCAAGTTGTATATTACTTGATAGCCTCCTGTACCTTTTTACAACCCAATCCATACTCAGGCCCCCAGCTGCGCCAGGGTCTACAAATCAGATAACATCTCATCCTGCCTAGAGTCAAGATGTAATTGACTCACACCTCTAGAGACAGGGAGTTTTACGTTTAAAAAGACCAGAACCCATTCCCCAGAAGGCCACAGTTTTATCTCTCCCACAATGCCTCACTCCTGCGTGAACCAGCGTTTGGACATACCAAGATTTCCCAACTTCACTACACCCTCCCCTCTTAGATGAAATTAAAGGGTTAAGCCCCTAAATTTTATCAGTACTATTTACACAATTGAGGTAGTTCCAACCAATCTGAGGCATTTAGTACAGTCATACCTTGGGTTAAAGACGCTTCAGGTTGAGCATTTTCAAGTTGCGTTCTGTGGTGACCCGGAAGTAACGGAACAGGTTATCTCTAGGTTTCGCCGCTTGCGGATGTGCAGACACTCAAAATTATGTCATGCGCAGAAGCAGCGAATCACGACGCGCAGACGCAAGTTGCGTTCTGCTCAGGATGTGAACGGGGCTCCGGAACGGATCCCGTTTGCATCCAGAGGTACCAATGTACCTCTAAAATAGCAACTCACTCCACAGACTGCTACAAGCAGGACAGGGTGTCTGCGACTACGTTCATTTTCCCAGGTATATGAGAAACTGTGAACTGATAGTCTTGAAGGGTCAGACTCCATCTGAGTAACTTCTGGTCAGTGTGTTTCACTCTTTCTAACCAGCACAAAGGTGAATGGTCAGTTTGGACTTCAAAATTATTCCCCCACAAGCAGTGGCGTAGCATGGGGGGTGCAGGGGGGGCCAGCCGCACCGGGCGCAACATCTGGGGTTAGGGCAAATCCATGGTTAGGGGGCGCAAATCCACGGGTTAGGGGGCGCAAATTACTTGCCTTGCCCCGGGTGCTGACAACCCACGCTACGCCCACAAGGTAGGGGTAGAGTTTGACCAAAGCCCAAACCAAAGCAAGACATTCTTTTTCGACAGTGGAATAATTCTGCTCACGTGGTAGCAACTTTTTGCTCAAATACACAACTGGGCGCCAGGTTCCTCCCTCATTTTGCTGAAGCTGTACACCCCCTAATCCTGTTTGGCTAGCGTCTGTCTGTACTACAAAGGGTTGGGCGCAAGCATCAATGTTGAGCTCACTAATGCCTGTTTTAATATTTCAAAAGCATGCTGACACTCCTCAGTCCAGGTCACCTTAACAGGCAGAGATTTCTTACGCAAATTCGTCAAAGGGGTGGCAAGGGTTACAAAATGCTTAATAAACCTTCGATAATAATTCACTAGCCCAATAAAGGACTGCACATCCCTTTTTGTCTGAGGGCGAGGCCATTTCTGTACACTCTGGACTTTGGCCTCCAGGGATTTGATATTTCCAGACCCCACCCTAAACCCCAAATAAATCCCCTCTCCTTGAGCAAACTGACACTTGGAGATCTTCACCGTCAGGTTGGCTTCCTGTAACCGTGACAAAACACTCTGCACATGCCTAAGATGCTCCCCCCAGGAATTAGAAAAGATAGCCAGATCATCTAAGTAGGCACAACAAAAATCACTCACATCATGTATCAGAGAATTAATCAAGTCGCTGGAATGCCGTGGGCGCATTGCGCAATCCAAAAGGTAACACCTTAAATTGATATAGACCCACACGGGTAACGAAGGCAGATTTTTCTGATGCCTCAAAGGAATTTGCCAAAATCCTTTGGTCAAATCCAGGACCGTGATTAACTTTGCTCTCCCTAGCTTTTCAATCAGGGTGTCAATTCTGGGCAAGGGACAAACATCAGGGAGGGTCACAGAATTAATATGCCGATAATCCACACAAAAACAAATGGTGGAATCAGCCTTAGGGACCAAAACGATGGGAGAAGCCCAGGCTCTCTTACTGGGCTCTATAACTCCCAAATCAAGCATTTCCCGCAATTCAGCCTCAATGCTTCGGGCATGAGCTTCACTGACCCTATAAGGCCATGATGCAATAGGTGCAGCATCACCAGTGTTAAAATGGTGCTGCATCAAATGAGTCCTCCCTGGTTTAGTACTGAAAGTACGGTCAAAAGACTGTAAAACATCAAAGAGCCCCCTAGCCTGTTGTTCGGACAAGGTAGGTAAGCATAACACATCCAAGATACAGTGGACACTCGGGTTGTGAACGTGATCCGTGCGGGATGCACGTCCACAACCCGCAGCGTTCGCAACCCGCGTCTGCGCATGTGCAGGTTGCGATTTGGCGCTTCTGCGCATGTGCAAAGCACTATTTAGCGCTTCTGCGCATGCACGACCGCCGAAACCTGGAAGTAACCTGTTCCAGTACTTCCAGGTTTCGGCAGTCCGCAACCCGAAAAAACGCAACCTGAAGCGGCTGTAACCCAAGGTATGACTGTACTTCCAGCCTGTTTTTATTCCTCCAAGAGGTCTATAGGGGCTGTAGGCACCTCCTCTCGACCTCCAGAGATGGCCAACACAGAAAGCTCAGATTCAAGGTACCTTTTCAAAGAATTGACATGATATTCTCTCGATGCATCATGCAGCTCCTGGCATTCCACCAGATAGCGCACAGAGCTCAACTTGGCCTTCACTATGCCAGGCCCATGCCATTTGACTGCCATTTTGTGGGGTCGGGTGGGTTTCAACACTAAAACCTGATCTCCCACTTCAAAACTTTTTGTCACCACCTTCAAATCATAAAAACGTTTCTGTTCCAACCGAGCACCCTCCAAATTCTCCTTGGCAAGTTGCCAGATGTCAGACAACGTCTGCCTCAGGTTAGCAAAATACTCAGACACAGAAGGTACCTTAATCTCCTCCTCCGACCCCTCCCACTCCCTCCGGAGCATGGACAGAGGAGTATTCAAGAGTCGGCCAAAAATCAACTGGTTGGGCGCAAACCCTAGACTCCTTTGATAAGCATCATTGTAAGCAGACACAACTAAAGGCAGATCTTGATCCCAGCTAGACCCATGGGCTAGGGCACACTTCCGCAACATCTGCTCGAGAGTTTTCTGAACTCTTTTTATAAGCCCATTTCCCTGGTGCTGATCCACCACACTAATGTGATGGTGGACCTTTGCCAGCTGCAAAACCTTCTGAGTTAGCTCAGCCATTACATTGGTTCCCAGATCACTCACTAGAACCTTAGGTATCCCCAAAGAACCAAAGGCCAAAACCAAAGCTTTCGCAAGATTTTGGGCAGAAGTATTGGGCAAGCTTGTAGCCCAAACATATCTAGAGGCATAATCAATTATTACACAAACATACTGCTTCCCAGCACGGGTTTTCTGCAGGGGGCCCACCAAGTCTATTCCCCATTTTTCCAAAACATTTGCGTCAAGAGGTACACTCTGTAAGGTATTAGGCATGCTGTCTTTATCATTCCCTATTTTTTGACACACAACACAAGAGCGTACAAAGTTCTTTACACTTTGGTGCACATCAGGCCAGTAAAAGTACCGGCTGATGCGTTCCAGGGTCTTCTGTACCCCCAAGTGGCCTGCCAGACCATCATGATGGGCTAAGTCCAGTACCTTAGGACGCCTTGACCCAGGAACCACCAGCTGCAAAACAACATCTTTGTCTTTGATCTTCTTTGGCCAGAACTGTCTGTACAAGAGCCCCTTTTCATACAAGAAGCGGGCGCGCCTCTTTCCTTGGGGAAGGCTCTCCACAGCGTCCCAGGAAGCTTGCAAGGAGGGATCAGATCTCTGCTCGGCTTCAAACAATCGCAAATCCCCCAACACAGTGGAAGACCCAAGATCTTCCGAAACAGCAGGGATACTTTTCCCCGGTTCCTTGGGCTGAAACGCAGACCTCCCTTTCGATCCCAGAGCCATTAGTCAATTCCCAACCGGCTGGCTTTTGTTTCCCAGATGAGGCCTGTTGAGCCTAAAAGTCTCAGCAAACTGTACAGCTTCCTCAAGAGTAGCAGGGCTTTGGTCCGCCACCAAGCTTGCCAATTCCGCAGGCAAAAGGCGGTTAAACTGCTCTTTGAGCATCAATTGTTTCAACCCTTCAAAGGTAGTTACATCCGCTGCAGACAGCCACAATTCAAAATTCTTTGCCATTTTAGCAGCAACGAGGGTCAGGCTTTCAGCTGAGGCAGCTTTATCAACCTTTCGGAAAGCCCGCCTATAGTCCTCAGCCCTCAAACCATATATTTGCAAAGCAAGGCGCTTATAACGTTCATAGTCCTTAGCATATGATAAGGGTAACTGTCCCATTAAATCAGCCAGTTCTCCACTGACTAGGGCTCTCAGAATGGTCATATACAGTCTTGGGGGACTCCAAATTTTCGACAACTCAGTTCAAACATGGTAAAATAATACAAAATGTCCATGGGAGGTTTATAAGCAGGGAAGAGGCGAAAATCCAAATCCCATATGCTAAACTCACGAGTCGCGCATCTCAGGGCCACATCTCGCAGTTCCTGGTCATGGCTGTACCTCGGGGCGGGGTGATAACTCGGTGCTTGTCCCTCCAGACGCCGAGGTTCCTTCTCCCCATTCACGCAAGAGGGTCCGGAGCGTGGCCCATAGTCCTCCTCCTCTTCGTACTGTTGAGCTGACATCCTAGGCTCCCAATATCCTTCTGACAAGCAGACTCTCGTTGGACTAGCTGGTCGATAAGTAACAGGTCCACAATTCTCCTGGGGTTGACGCTCCGACTCTCGGTAGTCACCCGCAGCCACTGCACGGACCTCCCTTGGGCGTCTCAGCAGCTCCCTGTAATCAGGGATAATATATCTGGTTTATAAGAATAATGAAGGTGGGCTGATGTGTTAGAAAGCCTTCTAAATAGTATGTGTTCACTGTAAAACTTGTAAGCAGATCTCTGCATACATGACTGGGGTCTCTTGCTGCCTGCATAGCATAACTGCAGCACCACCACAGTGTATGCCTCTTCCTAGAATCACAGATTTTTAGAGTTGGAAGGGAAACCAAGGGTCATCTAGTTCAACCCCCTGCAATGCAGGATACTTTTGCCCAATGTGGGGCAAGAACCAATGATCCTGAGATTAAGAGTCTCATGCACTACCCACTGAGCTAGAAACAGATGGAGTAGTATGAGTGCACTGGAAAAGGATGCTTTGTACTGTACAGCTAATTTTCCCAATATGCAGTGACTAAGAGGGACCCAGTGAAAATGAAATCAGGCTCTTCTGTTATAACTAATAGTGGTTTCCTTGATTTTATCTGGCCACCCCTAGCAGTGAGTAACCGTGTCACCCTCTAGGGAAGGCTCGGTGTGGTTTGTTGTGGTCACACAACTGATTGTGTAATGTACTGGGTCTTTGCCCATGGAGTTTCTTGGCAGGGATGCTGGAGTGGCTTGCCAGTTCCTACTCCAGGTGGATCACGTTTAGTCAAAACTCTCCACTATGACCTGTCCATCTTGGGTGGCCCTGCACAGCATAGCTCTGAGTTATTCAAGCCCCTTCACCACGACAAGGCAGTGATCCATGAAGGAGATGTATGTAGTGATGTAGTGATGTAGTGGTGTATGGAAGTGAGAGCTGGACCATAAAGAAAGCTGATCGCCGAAGAATTGATGCTTTTGAATTATGGTGCTGGAGGAGACTCTTGAGAGTCCCATGGACTGCAAGAAGATCAAACCTATCCATTCTTAAGGAAATCAGCCCTGGGTGCTCACTGGAAGGACAGATCCTGAAGCTGAGGCTCCAATACTTTGGTCACCTCATGAGAAGAGAAGACTCCCTGGAAAAGACCCTGACATTGGGAAAGATTGAGGGCACAAGGGAGAAGGGAACGACAGAGGAGGAGATGGTTGGACAGTGTTCTTGAAGCTACCAACATGAGTTTGACCAAACTGCGGGAGGCAGTGGAAGACAGGAGTGCCTGGCGTGCTCTGGTCCATGGGGTCACAAAGAGTCGGGCACGACTAAACAACTAAACAACAACAACAATGTAGTGGGTAGAGATCGTGACAGGGGAGGACTGGGTTCAGATAATTGCTCTACTATGAAGGTCACTGGTTAGCTGTGTGGCAGCCACTGTCTCTCAACCTGTGCATGGCACAGGATAAAGTGGGATTAACCCCATATATTCTACACTGAGTGTCTTCGAGGAAGGTACATAACATACAAACGCAGTTCATCCATCCAATGCCACTCTAAAAGGAACAGCCAGGTAACTGCAAAATAAAATCATGATGTGATAGGAAGGTGGGTTGTATGAATCCCCTTCAATCTAAATGATAATCAGGTAGTGTGAACTTTTTGAATACAGTGGTACCTCGGGTTAAGTACTTAATTCATTCCGGAGGTCCGTTCTTAACCTGAAACTGTTCTTAACCTGAAGCACCACTTTAGCTAATGGGGCCTCCTGTTGTCGCCGCGCTGCCAGAGCACAATTTCTGTTCTCATCCTGAAGCAAAGTTTTTAACCTGGGGTACTATTTCTGGGTTAGTGGAGTCTGTAACCTGAAGCGTATGTAACCTGAAGCGTATGTAACCCAAGGTACCACTGTATAGGCATGCATTAGCCCTTTTGAAAACATTCCTTTAATCCAACAGAGAAAGGTAAAGATGCAGTGAGGGGAGCAGGGCCAAGCAGGTTCAAATAAGAAAGCAAGCACAAATAGATGGCAGTAAAATGATGCAACCATTTGGTTGATAGTGTTCAAGGGGAGGGGAGATCTCTCACATCACTCAAGGCAAGCCATACTAGTTTAAAAATGAGGGAAAGAGGGAGAGAGGGAAGGAGGGGGGGAGAGAGAGAGAGAGAGAGAGAGAGAGAGAGAGAGAGAGAGAATGCATTATATTCCAACTAATGATCTTGATCTGTGAGTAATAACTATAGGCCATTGAATGGTTTATATCCTATCTCAGAGGTCAGCCTAAGAAATTTCAGTGGTCACTTCGTATTTCTGATTGTGTGAACAAGCCTTACAGCATTTTAAACTCTCAAGAGCTGCAGCAGCTCTTTTTCAAAGCAATAGCGTCAAAATGGCTTTGAAATAGAAAATTTGCACATCTGTTGGGAGATGATACCCAGATGCAAATTCTGAACTTCAGCCAAGGAAAAAAACACCATACAAAGAAGAGCCATAGTTTTTAGTGCTCTGGAAGTGTGCAGAGTTTTAGTTCTGGGTTCACAGATGTCATCATCATTGTTTGGGTTGTTTTAATCATTTGCAGGAAGAAAATGGATATCACCCCAGTCACCCAGCTTATGCATCACTGCACTATACATAATAATGCTTGTTTAACTCATTAGAGCAGGGATGGGATGGGGAAGCTGCAGCTCTCCAGATGTTATCAAACTCCAGTTCCCACCATCCATGAACGTTGACCATACTAGCTGGGACTGCTGGAATTGGAGCTCAACAATATTTGGAGAGGTGCTCGCTTTGGCAACACATATACTAAAATTGGAATGATACAGAGAAGATTAGCATGGCCCCTGTGCAAGGATGACACACAAATTCATGAAGCATTCCATTTTTTAAAATAAATATTGGCCAAGGGAGATGAGCGCCGCAACCCCAGAGTCAGTCACGACTGGACCTAATGGTCAGGGGTCCCTTTACCTTTTTACTGATAGTTAGAGCATCTTGACAATGGAAGCAATTACCAGAGGGAGGGAAGGGGTGTTCTTCTAGTGAAGGCTGGACAGCCATCTGTTGAGGATGCCCTAGCTCTGGATTTCCTGCAGAAATCAGGAGGTTGGACTAGATGGCCTACACAACCCATTCCAACAATATGATTCTGCCCCTATTAGGAGTTGCTGGTATTAACCCTGCAGCACATATTTGGGCGGGGTGGGCGGAGAGAGATTGTCTAGAAGGCTGCCTTGGAAGCAGGGACTTCCTGGTTCATGTCACAATTCCATGCATGTCTATCCAAAAGAAAGTTCCAGCTAAGTGTACCCAGGATTGCTGCCTCACGGAGCAATCCTCCTTACATCATGCACATTAGGAAAGGACAGAGCTCAGTGGGCAGAGCATTTGCTTAGCATTCAGAAGGTCTTGGGTTCAACTCCTGGAATCTCCAAGTGGGACTGGGGGAGAACTGTGCCTGAAACCCCAGAGAGCTGCTGACAGTCCTTGTGGACAGTACTGACCCTGATGGACCAGTGGCCTGAGCCTGGTTCTTCTGTTTGTACATAGATGGTGTGTAGCTGCCTCTCTGCCAACCTTCATCAGCAAAGAGGAGCACCCCCATCTGGCAGCAGTGGCTCTGTAATGGTAGAGGCGCCACCTTCACCAAGATATTCTGGTAACAGGCTATTCTGTGGCAAGGGACTAGTGTGTTTGGACCCAAAGACCATGGATCCCTTCAACAGTCTAATCCTTGGACTCTCAGCTACACCTTCAGCCTGGAACTGGCATAGCAAAATTAAAGGGGCAGGTGGAAAACCCACCTTCCACAACACACACACAAAGTGCACATCACACATATCCATCTCATTCTAATGCATATAGATTCATCACAGATAATAACACACTGATAGATAAGAACATTTAAAAAGCTTGCCAGATCAGATGGTGAACATCAATCTAGTTCCTCATTCTCTTTCCAGACCAACCAAATAACTCTAGACGCTCACAAGGAGGGCATGAAGGTGGTGCCCATTCTCTGATGTGTATTTCAGCATCAGGTATTCAAAGATGTATACTGTCTGTATCCACTGAGGTTCTGTCTAGGTATCATGGCCAATGGCAATTGATTCCCACTCTCTATGAACATGTCTCACCTTCCTTTAAAGCAGGGATTGGAAACCTCTTGGCTGTGGCTCCTATCAACCCTGACCACTGGCCATGCTGGCTGTGGCTGAGGAGGGCAAGAGTCCAACAACATCAGGAGGGCCACAGGTTCCACACCGCTGACCTAAATGATATCTTAAGGACACCTAGCTAATATCATGCAAATTGAAGGTTTCCAAGTCAACTCAGAAATATTGACCCCCAAACACATTTAAAAGGCAAAAGTAACAAGTTTTCCCAAAGAAATTCCTGTTTCTGTAGTTTAACCTCTTAGTCACACACCCCCGCCCATATCTTAACAGACAAGGGAAATTGCACTCTCCCACTACCTTATTTCTGAGATCATTTCCCCACTTTTCTCTTGGCCAGATGTTGTTGAGCCAGGCTCCTTAGAAGCTTATCCAAACTTCATCAATGAGAAGTTCAAAACTAATGACAACCGGATAAATTGTACACCACACTGATCCTTCCATGTAGAACAAAATTACCGTATTTTTTGCACCATAACACTCAATTTTCCTCCTAGAAAGTAAGGGGAAATGTCTGTGCGTGTTATGGAGGAAATGCCTATGGGTGGCATGCCTACGGATTTTCCTCCTCTAAAAACTATGTGCGTGTTATGGTCGGGTGCGTGTTATAGAGTGAAAAATACGGTATACGGAAATGTCAGGCAGATATGGTGGCCATCTTTGCATTGCCAAAAGGGAGGACAGGAATTTGCACAAATTTTGCATTTAATAATATGTGGGGTGTATATTGTGTGTGTGTGTGTGTGTGTGTGTGTGTGTCTGTGCTAAGAGAGAGAGAGAGAGAAAGAGAGAGAGAGAGAGAGATTTAAATTTAGAAACAATTACTGTAATTGAAATAGAACTATGACATATCTCACCATAATGGGGAATATTGACCAGGTGACCTGTGTTATCCAGGTGCTAATTGCTGATGGGCAACTTCAAAGCCCCCTCTCTGATCTCCCTTCCTATTGTTCTTTAACTTTAAAACAGACTCAGACTGGACAGCCC